TCTGGGACAGCTCCATCCCGGCAGAGCCGGCCCGGGGCAGGCAGCAGGGTGTGCCCAGCACCGCCACAGCTCCTCCCCTAAACCAGCCCTGCTGCACGCAGAGATTCACTGCTGCCAAACCCAAACGACCTTTGTGACACCGGGAAGCCACTGCTCATTCCCAGGTGGCGTTCTCGTTCCTTTACAGACGCATCAAGGGACAGACACCGGCGCTGGGTTCCTGCCGTGGAACACAACCTTCCCCGGCGACAGCGACACAGCCCCGGCCCCGACCCGCCCGTGCCGCGGCTCCTGCACCTCCCCGGGCCCGCATCCCGGGAATTCCGCCCTCCCGGTCCCGTCGGACCCGGCACATCCAAACCCAGCCCGCCCCAAGCCCCGCCGAACCCCTCCCTGCCGGGGCACCTTGGCCGAGCTCTCCCCGCTCCGCTGGCAGCGGTTCCGCTCCTGAATCCTCTCGGCGATGTCCTGGGCGAGCTGGCGAGCGGCGGCGAGCAGCGGGAGCCTGGGGGCACGGCAGCGACTGAGCCCGGGGCTGCGGGATGGAGCCGGGACCGGCCGGGATGGACTGGGATGGGCTGGGACCCGCTGGGATGGGCTGGGACCCGCTGGGATGGGCTGGGACTCGCTGGGATGGGCTGGTATAAGCCTCGGGAAAAGGCCCGGGAGAGGAAGGCACAGCACCCCCAAAGCACACACACAAAGCCTGGGATGGGCTTTGGGAAAAGACTCCGGTAGAAGGCAAGCACCCCCAAAACACACACACAAAAAGCCTAGGATGGGCTTTGGGAAAGGACCCGGAGAAGGGAAGGCACAGCACCCCCAAACACACGCACACACCGGGATGGATTTGGGAAGGCACACCCCCACACCCCGCACAGCCCAGCCCCGCCCGGCCCCGCTCCCGCCCGTGCCGGGCCCCGGAGGCTCCGGACGCTCCGCAGCCCCGGCAGGGCCGAGCCCGGCCCGCAGCCCCCGGCCCGGCCCGGCCCGGCCCGGTGCTCACCAAGGGTCCGGAGCCATCGCGGCCCCGGAACCTTCGCGGCGCTTCCGCCGGATCCGCCCGGACTCGCGGCGCGCAGGCGCCGGGAGGGCACGGAGGGGAAGGGGAAATGGGAGAGGAGAGAGATGGACAGGGGAGAGAGGTGCCGGGGTGCGGGCCCCGGGGAGCGGAGCCGGCCCCAGGGACGCAGCGGTGCGGGGTGCCCGGTGCTGCGGGGAGCGGAGCGGATGGCGCAGCGGTTCCCATGTGCGGTACGGGGGGCAGAGGCGGGTGTTCAGGGGCAGAGGTGCAGATGTGTGGGGTGCAGGAACACAGATGTCCAGGGTTTACAGGTGCAGAGGCAGAGGTTTGTAGAGATGCAGATGTGCAAGGTGCAGATGTGCACAGCACAGAACCAGAGCTGTCCCCACCCCTCCCTTGCTGCCACACAAACCCAGCACTGAGCGGTGACACCGGTTCCCTTCTCCGAATCCCCAGCCCTGTTCCCTGCCCATCTCCAGTGACAGTCGCTGCCCTCCCTGCCCACGCCGATGTCCCCGGTCCCAGGTGACACTGGCGATGCTGGCACTGTCGCTGTTTTGGCCACCGTGGGCGCAGCCCCTCGCTCCCGCAGAAACTCCGTCCAAGCCCTCCCCACCCCTAACTCGCCAGGATTTGGCCTCTCTCTTTGTTTTGAGGTGCGCTCGGTGACGCAAGACGGGCACAATCTGAGGAGCAGTCTCGGGGCGCTGCCGGCGAGGCTTTATCGCCCTCGTGATGTGTTGATAACGATAGTGATGACGATAGTGATAAGGACAATCATAACAGTAATGATAACGATATTGATGACGATATTGATAACGATAACGAGCGTATCCTTGCCAGCACGTTCACATTGCCGGGGCTGATCGCCGCTGTGCTCCCCCATTCCTGGAAGCTGATCCCTCTGTGCTCCCCCATTCCCGGGTAATTCCCCTCTGTGCTTTCCCGGGCTGGGCTCTGTGTCCTGGCCCGGCTCTCCGCACACCCGGAGATGCTCCCGCTGCCGTGGCCATTAAACATTCATGGCCTTCGGCTGCGCTGCTCAGCCGGAGCCCCACGGCCTCTACATATTTAATATTTCGCCATTAAAAACGCATGAAGCGACATTTCCTTTCGCCC